TGAACCCACATACAGGTTTATAATCATAGTTAATTAATCTGACTGAAGATCACCAATTCTTTAATGGCCTGATGCCTCTCACTTAGAGTATTTTGGTCTACAGGTTTCTGACCGGGAGATGATTCTTATTTAGCATCGATTGATTATCATTAAGGATCTTAAAGCCGGTACCTGTAAGATATATATTCCCTGTGTAGTACAATATTAGGGCCTTAAGAACCACAGAGCGTGTTGGATAATAACAAGAGAGTATATACTTTTGCCAATTGAAGAAGTCAACAGGCTACTCTAGATACTGTCAGTAGTGACATACTGATATGGAAAGGTTAAGATTATAAAAATATTTTTTTGCTATCCAGAACACACTGGCTCCCCTAAACACACACACACACACACATGCACACTTTTATGCTTACACATACAGTACAGGCATTACTAGCATCATAAGACATATAATTGATAAGTGTAATGCTTACCTGTTAATAGCGGTCTGTCTGGGGTGTCTGTCGTGGTGGATTTAGAAGAGTCACTGGTGAGAGTAACTGAATTGGTACTTGATTCAGCAGAACTGGAGCTACTGTATGAACTCTCAGTATTTGATGCAACAGAACTGGAGCTACTGTATGAACTCTCAGTATTTGATGCAACAGAACTGGAGCTACTGTATGAAGTAAAGGTTGATGAAACAGAACTGGAGCTACTGTATGAACTCTCAGTATTTGATTCAGCAGAACTGGAGCTACTGTATGAACTCTCAGTATTTGATTCAACAGAACTGGAGCTACTGTATGAACTCTCAGTATTTGATGCAACAGAACTGGAGCTACTGTATGAACTCTCAGTATTTGATGCAACAGAACTAGAGCTACTGTATGAACTCTCAGTATTTGATTCAACAGAACTGGAGCTACTGTATGAACTCTCAGTATTTGATGCAACAGAACTGGAGCTACTGTATGAACTCTCAGTATTTGATTCAACAGAACTGGAGCTACTGTATGAACTCTCAGTATTTGATGCAACAGAACTGGAGCTACTGTATGAACTCTCAGTATTTGATGCAACAGAACTGGAGCTACTGTACTATGAACTCTCAGTATTTGATGCAACAGAACTGGAGCTACTGTATGAACTCTCAGTATTTGATTCAACAGAACTGGAGCTACTGTATGAACTCTCAGTATTTGATGCAACAGAACTAGAGCTACTGTCTGAAGTAAAGGTTGATGAAACAGAACTGGAGGTATTGTCTGAATCAGGGCCGTCCAATTCAATGCTTGAGGCAGCAGAAGCAGAGTTGGCAGGTTTAATAGCTCTTCCACTCTGCATAAGAATGGCGAACATCACCAAGAGGGAAATTCTTGTCCAGCGTTTCGTCATATTCTCAACTGAAAAGAAAGAAATGAAATATTTAGAACAGAGTAGACAGATAACACACCAATAGCCCCCCTCCCCCCCATACATACACACTTACAAGCAAACAAAAGAGTGTTGTAGATGAGTGATAGATATCTTGGATTGGGTATGACGGGACCTAGCAACTGTGAAGCATTTAGGAATGAATTGTGAAATATGTAAATATCTTTTTCATTATGTTTTTCACTGGATCAGAGAATGTCAAAAGAAAATATTTATTCACAGTTGACAACAAACAAACAAAATCTACAGTTTAAATTTAGTAAGACAAAACAGATATTTTATTGCAGCTGAACGACGATTATATAATAGGGCCACTGAACTGATGGCGACTGGAGATGAGGGGGAGAAGAACCTATAGGTGGAAGCATTGTCTGCATGGCAGACACATTTTCGTGAGCAGTTATAGCCAAACGTTTTTTTTTTCTGCGACAGATTAATCTCACGGCCCCGAGATCTTTCGAGAATACCGTCACCTGGTTCCTTCCTCGAATTTTCTTTTCAGAGTTAATATATATTTATAAAGCTATTCTTGTCTTCATGCATACATAATGGACAGCTTAGCAACATAACAAAAATTCAATTTGAATGTATTATTTATCTGTGACATAATCGCTTGCCATTCATAACGCGCCGATATGTTATCTATAAACCCTGCTTTGTTTTATCTTTGTTAAGTCTGTTATTTTATTATTTTATAAGACATGAACCATGATTAACCCTCAGATTAAACTAAACATATCCATCTCTTTCTTTTATGTTTTAATTACTCACTTTCTTACTTAATGGATATTTCTTATCACGTATTCAATAATTACTTATCTTGCCCTGCCACTGCTTTGTCTTAACCTGCTTAACTAACATAATCACAATCATCATCAAAACTGCCATTAGCAACACCGTCAGGGATTTAATGGACAGCAAACCACGCTCACCTTTGAAGCACGATATACGATGAATTTGACTGTCTGTCTGTCTGTTTTAACTCTTTTTCTCGCAACGACCACTCTTACCTGCGGCCACTACCAAATGTCTACGTAGCTGTGCCACAGGGACTATTGGCTCTGTCTGCTATCAGTGGAGA